CCCTCCCTCCCTCCCTGTCTCCCTCCTCCCTCCGTTCGGCCATCCGCCCCCCGTCCCCCCGTCCATCCATCCATCCATCCATCCATTCCATCATCCATTCCATCCATCCATCCATCTCTCTATCGCTCTCTCAATGGCAACAGCAGACAATTTTCACACACATCATGTAGACTGTAACCTGGAGAAACTGTACACGTTTCTGCATGATCCATCCATCCATCCATCCATTGTGCACGTGTGTGCACAATGTGTGTAGAGGGTATCATGTGCATGTGAATGTGTGTGTTGGCCTGTGCACGTTTCTGCATGATGGTGTCGAGTCATCCAACACTTCCTCTCCTGTGACATTTTTCTGTCCCACGCTGCTTTCTGGAGGTATGGTGATCTACCGGCTGCTCCACCCTTCCCCCTTCCTCGAGATCCTTTGGGCAGTCTTTGGTTCTTGCCACACCCACTCACAACCCGTGCAGCTTTCCCTAGAAGGTGGCAAACTACCCATCACTATGACCAGCCAGATGTATATTGCCTCCTTCCACGGGAAGCTCTACTCGTTTTTTTTTTCCCCATTTCGGGAGTAGTATGGCAAGGCCCTTCATTGAGTTTGACAGACGGCCATGCCTCACAGCCAGAATTTCACGTTATTGAAATTTGTCGATCGGGCTGTCAGACCCGTCCATGAGATTTGGGCCTAACATGTTGCGAGTCATGGCCAGGCATTGCCACGCGTTTGCATCAAACATCTGCGATGTACCATCGGAGCGGTTCCAGGTAAGAACTACGTGTCAAACAAATACAGCTTAGAGTATTGTGTTGATGTCAGCTCTCTAAAGCCCATTCCCAAATCCATGATGTTCCCGCTAACAAATTCATGGATCTACACACAGCGGTAAGTTACAGCCCTGGGATTTAAAAATGATGCATGCACCCAACGAATCAGCTGCAATCTCTCGAGAAGAACAGTTCTCGCTTCACAGCAAAAACAACCAACTCCGGAGAATTGCTGTCAGATTGCATGATCCCGAGGTCAGCAACGCACAAGAACCCAACCTCGGGGTATACTAATTCCCCCGTGGCCAGTGAACTTTGTATTGTTGGTTAGAGAAGGAAGTGCTTACCTGGAAGCTTTCAATTGAGTTGCAGAACCTATACAGGACTGACAAACAATCCTACGTTTCTATACCTGGTCAAAGTTGATTCTTCTTTTGCTCTTGGACCTGTGGTTTCACGGTCTTCTACCCTAGGGAGTGCCCACAACATCTAAGACGAATGTGTTTAGAAACTGTTCCATTCATTACACATCGTAAAATTCATCTTTGACACAGGTTCCGCATCATTAATACAGAGTATTACAGACACATTTGCTGTTACATGCCCAGTTGGGCGATGTACATATATAACCGAGGATCCGCAATGTGATGAAAAGGACTCAATGGACAATGCAGTGCTAGTGAAATCTCAACAAGCAGTGTACATCCTGATACATACAAAAATGGTGCTTGATAGCGCAGTGAAGACTTAGATACAAGTCCTGACCTGACCAGGACTGACCTCCCTAACGTAGTACAAGACAGCGCAGCAGAATGCTAGAATACCAATGACGAGCCCAATCAATGTTGCAATGCAGACTACACATACATCATCTTCATCACAAGGTGTGAAGGAGGCCTGGCACTACACACAGGAAGAAGGCGCCAGATCCAGATCATGCACACACGAAGGGGAGGGGAACAGACGAAGAAGAGGAGGGGGGAGATGGGAAAGTCGTCAACACCAAGTCTTTGTTACAAGTCCCAAATAATCCCTCGTCAAAATGTCTGAAGCCCAACGTCGAGTCTGGATCCAAATGTCACCAAGCTTTCTCTCTCTCTCTCTCTCTCTCTCTCTCTCTCTCTCTCTCTCTCTCTCTCTCTCTCTCTCTCTCTCNTCTCTCTCTCTCTCTCTCTCTCTCTCTCTCTCTCTCTCTCTCTCTCTCTCTCTCTCTCTCTCTCTCTCTCTCTCTCTCGTGCGCGCGCGCGCGTAGTCTGCTGATGCAGTGAAGTCAGATAGCGAGAGGGTTAGAGGGAGATGGTGGACTGAGAAGAGGAAGAAGAAGAACTCTCTCTCGTTCTTTCACGTGCCAGGTACTAACCTGTGAAGTTGGCGCTGTGCTGCAGGTACCTCAAAGACGAAGCTGGAGCTACGATGCTGCAGGTAAGTCTCCCTGGCCTCCGCCCACTCTCTCTCTCTCTCTCTCCAGAACTACTCTAGCTCCTACTAGCGCCCAGCGCTGAAGACTACTGTTAACGCTACTAGCGCCCAGCGCTGAAGACTACTGCTAGCGCTACCACTACTCCTGCAGCGCTCCTCCAGAGTGCTGGTGCCGAATCCTGAAGACTACCTCCTGCCTCCTGAACTGCACATGAAGTGCCTGGGAAGTACCTAGGAACTACCTGCAGCCTGCAGGGCGGGTCAGTCTTAGATAGTGCTGGGCCCGTCCAGGAGGCTGCTCTTGCCAATGCCAAAACGTGCCAGACCCTGGCGTTGAAGCTCAAACAAAGGTTGTCTTGAAAACAGGCCCAAAATGGCCTGTGCTAAAACCCTCGTCTGGTGCCTAAGTTTCAGGGCAGGTTGATCTTATGAGGGCCTGAAAATGGCCCTCCGTTTCAGGCTGAAAAGACTCAGGGCCTGGAGGGCCCTGTTTTAGGCTGAAACGACACAGGGCCTGTAGGCCCTTGTTTTCAGGCTTTTAGGCTGAAAACAACACAGGGCCTGAAAATGGCCCTCGTTTCAGGCGCAGCATGTAACATTTGCCCTTTTTCTTACTTCCATCACCCCCTTTAAATTTTCAACTCGTCGCTTCTTCTTTCTTCATAGAGCTCCCCTCGTCTGTACTTCATGATTTATATACATGCACAGAGAAAGTTTCCCCTGCTACACTTCCTACTTTCCAACCTCTTGGCCCATGTTCCCTCCTTCTCCACCCTTTCAGATTCCCAAGTCACTAGAAAAAGTCTGATTGAATCTAACCGCCCACATACCACACTCAGAAAAGGAACGAGCAAAAGAAAGTAGAAATCCCCAAATAGTACAAGATTGGATTAAACAAGGGCATGATGGGATTTGGATTAAATTGGATCAGTTTTATATTGAGGGCCATCCGTAGCTCTACCATGGCAAAAATGTTTGGCACCAACCCTTTTTCAGCAAACGCTCCTCCTTTACCATGGCAGCAAGTTCCGCCTTCGTTTTCCCATTCGCTCTTGACATGTCCTATCCATCCAAGAGCAACAAAATTTGAAAATGCAACCAACCCCAGAATTAGACAAAGCAACCAAATACTACACTGAAATCATGTACCCATGAGTGATCAAACACCAGTTCAGCATTTACATTTATGTGACCTTACTGCATGCTCAGGTGCATTTGCACACCTTAGGAGTGTGCTTTAGTGTGTGCTTAGCTGCACTCCAGTGTGCTTTAGCGCCATTCAGTGTTCTTAGTAAGGTGCTTCTCAGTCAATTCAGCGCATCTCAGTGTGCATCATTGCGATTCAGTGCGCTTATCCATACATATACTACAATGCTGCAGGGACAGCAAAAAAAAGAAGGTAACAACCAAGGCCAGCAAATAGCTTATCTTTAAACTGCACAAGCGGATGCCCGCCACAGCTGTGGCCGCAGTGCACACCTGCTCCTCCTCCTGTGCTCCCCCACCCCCCGGTTCCTCTGCATCTGCCATCTATGCAGCCAAGCAAAAAAAAACAAAGACAACACACGTATGCGGTATCATGTGGCATGGGTGACACTATGTAGGGTGGGCGGTGTCGTAGCGAACACCCTTACAAGGGTATTTGCCGTCCTTTTTAAAGGTCGCACTGGGAGCATCCTTGATTAATGTAAACGCACCGATAGGGCAAATCCCGTCAGTACGCTCACCTCCGCAACCTCGCTACTGGCAAAAGTCCGAGCCAAAATGCAAACGAATTAGAGAGTGTGTGGGGCACGCATTATTGCGTTGCACTGTGAGGTGGTCGTTTACTCATCAACAGCACCAGGACGGTGGGAGGTGCCAAAGGCCATAGGGTCCAGTTACCTTTGCTATAGTTTTCAATTTGGTTATATTTTTCTTTTATTTTATGAAGACTAACCTCACTCCACGAGCCTGCTCAGCCTCTAGCGGGCCACGTCACAAACAGGATAAAAACTTTACCTTGCGCACATGCGAGAAGTTTATGATTGGACGACGCGTCGAAAGGCGCGGCGTTGGCAATCGTAGTATGCGAGAGAGTCGAAAGTTCAGCAAAATATGTCGAGCTTCTGACGACCAGGATACCAGAAAGCTACGATCCTAGGTGCGGGCGGCGTCTCGGCGTTTTCTGACGGCCAGGAGGTTGGCCGGTAGGCCAAGGCGAAGGCCTGGCTTGTGCAGGTAGGACCAATTACGGTCCTGCGACTATTCATATGCAGGGTCGCACCTACCTAACTCAGGCTTGGGCTTAGCCCTATTGGTTACAGTACTTGATTTTCAGGCGACGGGTTTGGGGTTCGAGGTCAGCAAGTGAAACGGTATTCACCAATTTGTGGTAGCTGAGATAGATCCCAGGGCTCGATCCCTAGTTCCCCAACTTACCTGTGCACAATACCTGCGTCAACTCGAAGAGTTGAACCTGCGACCTGTAGAACCGCCAGTGGTAGGTAGGTCTGTCGTAGGTCTATAGGTAGCCAGGATTCGATCCATAGACCTGTAGACTAGAAGGCTAGCTGCAGTCCTTCTAGAAGGTTGGCAAGTGGTCAAGTGGTGCAG